CTTTCACCTTTGCCAGAGTGCTTGGCTCAGAGATCCTTGGAATGCGCCCTTCTTTTCTCCAGAGCAGTCCCCGTGCCCTGCCGGCAAGTGCCGGGGAGCTGTGGCCTCCAGTTTACAGCCTCCTTGCTCCAGAGGCAGCTCCTCTGCCAATCGAGGCCCACCTGTCGTGTTGTAGCACCATCAGCAATTAGCGACGGTTCATTAGAGTCCAATTAATAAATGGAACCAGGATGAGAGCCCATTGCTTTGCTGAGAATAACAGCCCTGCTCATGCCTTAAGTGGCAGCCTCTGGAGAGCTCAAAACCCACCAGGACCCGCTGCCCCGCCTTAGCCCTGGGGGCTGGGAGGCGGCCTGGAGTGAGGGCGTTGGCTGTGGCTGCTTTCTGGGGAAGCGGGCAGGGGAGAAGGGAGCTTCAGATCCGACTGTCCCTGCCTCACATCTCAGCTCCTCCTTTGAGGAGCCCCTGGCACAGCTCCCTGCCCAGCAATCCCAGGGGAGCGTGGCCAAGGCCAGAAGTATGTGGGCCAGGCCTTTCCCTCCTGCCTGCCTGGCCTCAGAGGACACTGCATGTAGCCAAGAAGAGAAAGGGGCTCGAGAGGGAACTCAGTCAAGGAGGACCACAGCCTCCCCTCCCGACCGCCCCAAGCCGTGCTGCAAACCCACCACACCCTCCCCTGCTGCTGCGAGCCAGCGCCTGCCCCATCCCGAGCCTCAGGCCTTCTCCTCCACTCAGGAAAGTCCTCCTCTCCGTGCTATTCAAACCTGCCTCCGCCAGGAAATCTCACCTCACCTGTCCAGCCCAGGTGGGGTCAGAAACACAGGAATCCAGCTTTGGCCACCCCATTCAGATGGCTATCTCTGCAGAGGCCAACCCCCCGACTCCTGTCCCTATTGCCTTAGCTCGGGCTCCTGGACTGGGGAGAGGTCACTGGGTTTTTCAGAGCCTTCTGGGGGGAAGGTAGGCCTATGGTCTGGGAATCCGGCTGCTGCTTGAACTTCTGCAGGATGCAGGGGGCTGGTCTCCCTGGCTCGGAGGCTGGCATGGAGGATGCAGGTGGAGGGAACTTGCCCTGACTTCTCAGGACAGACTGAGGCCAAATCACGACACCCCGGCAGCTGGCCTAAAGGGCTCTTAATCTGAACCTAGCCCCCCACCTCCCTCTCGGACTCCCAGGTGAGCCGGCAACAGGGCTGTGATTGACCAGGTCAAAGGGCTGCAACACCTCTTGACCCAGCATCCAGCCACCTAAGGGCCTGCCGTCGTCCACCCTTCTCCATGCCTGCCTGACTGCTTCCTTCCCCGGGGCTTCGGGGACAGCCCTCCGGTCTTTCACGATCTGGGAGCCTGCCCAGCAGCCAGAACAGACACGAACTGGGGCTCTTCCCTTTCCTTCACTCTCCTGGCGCTGCCCTGGGGTTGGCACTCAGGACAGCCCAGGCACCCATGTGCTGGGCTTCTAAAGCCCTGCAGGAGGAGGCCACACTTTGACTGCTGTTCCTGTTTCGATGCTTGGAGCGGAGCCAAGCTGGAGGCCAGAGGACAGGCAGGGTGGTGGGGCAGGTGGACTTAGGTGTGAAGAGAAGACCTCAGAGGCAGCTTGAGGACTGGCAGCCTGGGGGCGTGGGGCGGGTCATGTGCATGGGCACACCATGGCACTCACGCCTCTGTGCGTGTGTGCTCTGGCGACCCGGGTGGGGGTGGCCCTCGCTCTCTTCCCGGCAATGTCCTGTGTTTTTCCGCTGCTCACCTCCGCTCACAGCTGCAGCCCTGGGGAGTCAGATCACACATTTTCCCTTAGTCATGACCTTGCAGAAGGAAAGCAAAGTCCTTCTTGTTCCTGCCCACTCACAGCTGTGCTTGGGCCTGGCCTCCCACCCCCTGCTGGGTGGAGCCCTCCCTCCAACTCCCCCCCTCCTCGGGGATGCCGGGCTTGAGGCTGGAGTTCGTCAAAGACACACACACCTCTAGCAGCCTGGGCTGGGCTGGGTTGGGGATGGTTCGCATTTTCCCCGAAGCTTGGGCCCAGGACTGTTGCACTCTGTCTGTGAACCTAAGCCCAGTCCCCATCCTGGTGTGGCTGCTCCCGCTGTGGCTGGATTAGGTCTGAGCCATCCAGACGCCCCCCGGCCCTAACTGCCTGGAGCCAGCTATAGAGCCAGGGCAGGACTTTGGGGACAGGGAGGAAGGACAAACAGCCAGCGGAGAGGCCCCCCAGGGCTCTGAGACTGCACTGGCAACCCTGAGCTCCTTAGGGCCTGGGGGACCTAGAACAGCCACAGGCCCAGCTGGGGGTGCAGAAAGGGGCTGAGAGCAGGGGGTGAGCTGACCCCCTTCTATTCTGCAGGGAATCAGAGGTTCTTCTTGCTCTCCAGTTTCTAGAATAGTATTTAGGCCCAGAGGAGTCAGCTGTGCCAGTAAAAGCCGTGATTACCCTGACAGCCTCCCTCCACCTGCTAAAAGCCTCCCCCTTCCCCTGGGGCCTCCCCCTCCCAGTTGCTTCCTCTGAGCTCACCTAGACTTCTTTTCGGGGAGGGAAAGAGACAAAGACTTGCTTAACCCTTTCTTTGCCGGAGGGAAGCCAGTGGCCCAGGCTCCCTTGCCTTGCCCCACGGCCCCTCCCCACCTTTTTGCCCCTGGAATTCCTCGGTGCCTCCCAGGAGCTTTCCAGAGAAGGGGAGGGACCTGAGGCTGCAGAGGTCAGGAGGGTGGAAGACAGGTTGGCAAGTGCAGGCCATAGGGTCCAGCCTGGATCCTGTCACTACGCTGCTGCGACCTCGTGCCCTCAGTGTGTCTTCTCCCTGCACACGCAGCCACTTGAAGATCCCTGGGAAGCCCCCAGGGACCAGCCTGTGCAGAAGCAGGTGTTGTGCGGTGTTCGGGGTGTAGAAGGACTGACGTGCTCCTCATGCACCCTCAGTGCTTCGTCCTCTCTGCTCCTGTCCTCTGCCCTGGATTGCAAGGCCCTGAGGACGGTGGCAGGCATTGTCGTGCACTAACCCGGGCAGGGGGCAGATCCCCGGCCTCATGGCAGAGGGGGCTGCTGAGAGCTCTGAGGTCTCTGACTTTGGGAGGCAGCTGCGGGAGGGAGAACCAGCCACAGAGTGGCACAGGAGGGGCTCAGATTGCGGAGGAAGGGACGGTGTGCGGTAGGGGGTGGGCTGAGCACCTCTCCAGCCTGGCAGCCTCCCTCACATTCCGCGGGGCCCGACGGTGCGGACATGAGAGGGGCTCCAGCGCCCCCAGCTTCCCTTCTTCCCCTGCATGCGCCCAGCTGTTGTGCATCACAAATGCGGGAGTAACATGAACTGGGGCTTCCCGGGTGCCGGGGGGAGCGTAACACGCTTTCTCTCCAGCCCTCGTATCCACCCTCTGAGGGAGGCATGGGGTTTATAGGGGAGGACCCAAGGCTAAGAGGGAAGACCATCCAGCCGGGATAAATGCGGGCTCAAGCCCAGTTCTCAGTGACTCTTCCCAGGAGTCCACAGCTTGGCCAGAGCAGCCAGAGACCCCCCAGCCCTAGTCCCAGAGTTGGGGGCATGACGGGGAGAAACCAGGCCAGGGGCAAAGAGGCAGGTCAGGGGAGGCCGCCAAAGCTAAGTTCTCCAGTGCCGTAATAAGAAGGAATTACATTTGTAATTTAATAATTAAAAGTCATGATCATTATTAACACTTTATGGTCCTTAACAATGTGCCAGGGACTACACGTGGGAGCGCGTTTCATTCCCACAAGAGCCCTGCAGTTGGGCGCCATTATCCGCCCCATTTTACAGATGACGAACGAAGTAAGGCACGGGCGGGGGGGATATGCACCTTGCCCAGAGTCACACAGCTAGGAGAGGTAGAGCAGGGACTTGGAACCCCAGTGGTCTGACTCTGTGACAATCATTGTGTCACACTGCCTCTCCGTCGAGGCAGAGTGGGAGTCCTCGGCTGACCCCTGGAGCCTGGAGGTGGGACTCCCGCAAGAAATGGTTACCACAAGAGCAGGACTGTATGAGTGGGAGCAAGGAGCCAGGCCACAGCGTCACTTAAGTCTAGAGGACAGAAGGAGCAGTGAGGAGCAGGCTGGGCTGGGAAGGTGTTGGTGTTGCTAGTGTATGGGGCAGGTTGGACCTGAGCTTCTGGGCCAACTCTTCTGCCCCACGCTCTATCTGGGAGCTTTAGGGCGGGCCAAGGGCCGGCAAGGATGCCACCTTCGCCTCCCCATTGGGTACCATTTGTGCACCAGGCCTGCCCTCCTGGACTCCCCCTGCCGCTGCAGGTGGCGCAGCAGCACCGTCCACAGCCCTGACACAGCCACCTCCTCAGCACTAGCGTGAACTCTCACCGAGCTGGTTGACGGCTCTGGATCTCAGGACACATAGCTCACATACCTGTGGGGTGCACTGGGGTGCAGGGGGCCCCAGCTCCCGTCTCACCGTGGGCGGACTGGCCGTGAACAACTGGAGTACTTGAGGGCCAGAAAGCCCTCGCCACTGCCTGCTGCCCCCAGCCCCAGGCCCTGCACATGCTGGCACCACCAAAGGCCATAGCACGTGTGTGCTCCATGGAAAGGGTTCAGAGCTGGGGGAGCTGGGCCAGAAGCTCAGGGCAATGACAGTCAGGAGAAAGGAGTGTAGAGGAGAGGTTGGCCGGGGAGTCCCTCACACAGGCACCTGCTAGGCAGCACCCCTGCTAGCCCCCTAAGGGGCAAGAAGTCAGACAGGAAAGGCATCCACTCCCACTCCAACCCCCCTCTGAGCCTCTGGTGCCCGCGTCCAAGTGAAGGCTTCGGCAGTGGCCAGGGAGACAGTGTAGTCACGCGAGCAGGCAGGGCAGCCGAGGGGAGAGGCCTGGCGTCCCCTGGGTCTGGGATGACATGAGTGTCTATGTGCGGGAGGGAGCTCTCCATGTTCTGTCCACCTCTTGCTCAGATTTATGGGCAGTGGGGTCCGGGAGGGAGGCAGGCAGCAGGCAGGAACTCTCCCTCTGACTCCCCCTGCCCCTCCCTTCCCCAGGAAAAGCACATCGGAGGAAGCAAACAACCAGACCTCCAAGGCAGTCACATCTGTGACCTCGAAGCCCACCAGAGACCCCATCTGGGGGGACACCGTGAAAGTGGAGATCCAAGCGGAGGACGCGGGGCGGGAAGGTGAGGCTGGGGGCGGCGGGGGGCGGGGGTGAGTACAGACCTGCCAAGGACTAAGGCAGAAGCAGCCCCCTTAGCTCAGCTGGCAGCCACCTGAATGTCTCTGTGGGCTCCGTTAAAAGCACTTTTAAAAAATCCTAATACTGTCACGCCTCATCTCCCCGGTCTGCTCGAAAAATGAGTTGTTCCACATAAATGAGCTTCCCAGACAATGCGAGCTTATCTTTTTTATGTCTGCTGTTATTATTTTCATGGCGGTTATTATCACCGCCTCCCACCGAAACGGCACATTACAGCTTTGTGGCACGTCCCCACGCGCCACTCATTGGAGTCCCCGCCGCCCAGGAGGAACAATGCTGCTCCCGTGGCCTGGGAGAGGACGTTGAGGTTCGCGGGATTTAAACAACCCGCTGCAGCTCAAGCACCCAGTAAGCAGAGGACCCAGGCCTCGGCGCCTCACGAGCTCACTGTAGCTCCAGTGTTCCAGCTGCCTCAGCTGGATTTTTTCAAAAAATGCTTTCAACGTCCCCAGAATGGATCCTTGTTGCTGCCTAGTCATCCTGGGTCTCAGCACCAGCTGCCAGGTCCCCGTGCACACACACACCTGTGCACACCGGGTTTCCATTCTCGTGGGCGAGCTCAGGCGGGCACACGGGCCTACTGGCTGGCGCCGGGACGGCTGTGGCACCAGTGTCAGGCGCGCCAGCACAGACCAGCGGTGCCCAGCGACGTCGCTGATCTTACCTAGTGGGAAGAAGCCCAGGCTCACTTCTTGCCGGCGGTCTCTCCCAGAGAGGACGGGCTGCCCTCCCCTTAAAATCTTGCCAGGGACCCAGACAGACTCCTTGCTTGCCTCACAAAGAGCAGACAGCTGGCTGCTGGGGGCTGGGAGGGGAGAGAGGAAACCGGAGCGGCCTCCACAAAGGGTGTCTGACTGTGGGTCAAGCTGGAGAATTTCTTTTCTGCCTGTAAAGGGATAGGTGGAGCTGTTGGGACAGTTTCAGAAGCTGTGAAAGAGGAGGAAAAATTGACCTAGGATTTCATGCGGAGGCACGTGTGCTGGAGTGCGCATGTCTTTGTGAAGGCCTGCATGCCGGTTCGTGTGTATGCGCGTGTGGTGTGTGTGTGTGTGTGTGTGTGTGTGCCTGGACATATCTGGAGGGCAGTGTGCACCTTGCAGTGCGTGAGTATGTGTAGACTGTGTGCGTGTGTGCACGTGTGTGTCATGCGTGCATTTATGTGGCTGGGGGGAAGTTAGGGGCTGTGGTAAGTGGACCTGGGCTGGGATCCTGCCCTGGGCTCTACACACCTAGGGTGACAGAGGCAACAGTATGTCAGCGTCGTTAGCCCTTGGGCCCCTCTGTGCAGCAGAGAGGGGGCAGGGCTAGCTGCAGGGGGACAGGCGGGTGGGAGGCCGCATGGGCAGGCGGGGAGCATTGGCGGGCCTCTCTGCAGATTGAGGTGGCTGGATGCCTGCTGGAACCTGGCTGGAACCGGTTGCTGTGGTGATGTGCGCTGTGGGGGTGGGGGAGATGGGGGCCAGGCCAAGAGGTGGGGGAGGATGGGAGGTAGCTCAAGGATGTGTTAATGAAAAGCAAAGGGGACTTTCAGAGCCTGCATCGGGGCCAAAAGCAGGCAGGCGACAGAAATGCCTTGCTGGCCGCACAAAGAAAGCGGTAGGAGGCCGGAAGGGCACAATGCCCAGAGAGGAAGCTGATGAAGCGTGTCTGTGGCATGGAGACAGGAGCAGGGAGGGCGGCTGTCCATTCCTCTAATTTCAGCTCATCGCTGGCTGCCCACACAGAGCTCCAGGTACGGGGGTGGGGGCGGGGGGGACGCAGGGCACTCACCTCTACTCGACCTCAGCAAATCCCAGCCAGACCTGGGGACCGAGGGTCCATGGGGAGAGGGCCTGAGGGGCTGCAGCCTGCACAGCCTCTCTGGAGCTTTGGCGGGGAGCGCTGGAATCCCCCGGCTGAGTTTCCTCAGTCTCAGAGTGGGGCGCGTGTACGGAGAGCCGCAGATGGTTAACGAGGAAGAAAATAGTGACAGCCACGAGGAGCATTTGCACGGACCTTCATAGCGTGGAAAACACACTCCCCTCCCTACGGCAATCCCAGCGGAGGGACGAGATATTTCTCTTTTAGAGTATTAACATTTTGCAGAGCAGGAACATGAGGCTCAGAGAGGTTAAGTGACTCAATAAAAGTCGCAGAGCAAGTTAGTGTCTTGGTACTGGAACCCGGGCCTGCCAACTTCACACCCTCGCCTCCGTCTACTTTCTTCAAGCCAGCCTCAACACCGCGGGTGCCCTCGCCACTCCTTCCTTTGAGCAGGGATGCCAGTGGCTAGCTCTTGGGAGGCTTTGGCAGGTTTCCCTCTCCGAGTGTTCAGGCTAGCTGTGGGGAAAGGGAGAAAGGAAGGAGCTGGAAAGTCCCTCAGCTTCCTCCTCCACCCCCACATCCAAATGGCCCCTCCAGCTCCAAGTGCCCCAGCTGCTGAGCCCCTTACTGGGCCTCCAGCCTGCTGAGCCTTCTGGGGCCAGCAGCTGTCCCTGGTGCTGAAATGTCCTGTCTCAAGCAGAGAGGCGGGGGCTCCCTGGGGGGCTCCCTCAGGCACCCCTCTCCATCCCCATCCCCGTTCCTATTCTTCCATAGCTTTTTGTTTTATCTCCTTTCCTCTCCCCTTCTCTCGTTCCTCCCCCACCTTTCTCTTTCCTTCCTCCTTCTCGGTATCTCTTCTTCCTCCTCAAATCATAGATTTCCAGAATGGAAAGATGCCACAAGGGTCACCAAATCCAGGCCCTCCCATCATCCCTTTCCTAGCTTTGTGATGTTGATCAAGTCACACAACCACTCTTAGCTCCATCGTTCATACTTTAAAAACAGAGATGGCGAAGCCTACTTGAGGGTGGTGGCAGGGATTTGCTGGAGCAGCGGCTGCCCAGCGCCGTCCCCATGCCTGGCACGCAGTGAGTGCTCACTGAGCAGGACCGCCACGATTACTTCCAGGACACGGGTGTTCTTCTTAAAGTTCATCCCAAAGTTCATGCCATCTTTGGTACGGTGGTCTCTTCGGAGGGCATTTACTAGGTGGTGCATTATTCTTAGTGTTTGATTTTCATTCACTTGCAGTAGACTTTTCTTGATAGTTGCACTAAGGAATTTCTTGAGTAGGTCCCTTTTTGTTACTGACACTCAGTTTCCCCACCTGCAACACGTGGAAGATAATCCCCAACCCATCCCTTCCTGCCTGTGCAGCTGCCGAGAGCGTTTGTGCCCAAGGGAAGGGGCCTTACTCCTGGAAAGGGGCGCCTGCTTGCCTGTGTATCCCTGTGTGTGCACACGTGTGTCTGGTGATGAGGGGCTGGGCTCCGTTCTGTGTGTGTCTATCTCTGGGCTGGGAGTTCCTCAACCACAAGAGAGAATTGCATTTTGGGGTCCAAACAGCAAGTGCATGAACCCTTGCCCAGTGCAGGGGCTCAGACAGTGCTCATGGGGCTGTGTGTGCCTGTGTGACCCACACGTGTGCACACATGTTGATTCCTCAGTGTGGCCCGGCTCCCTGCTCTTGGCAATGTCTCTCACCTCCCACTGTCTCGCCTCGCTGGGAGGGAAGGTGGGAAGTTAAGCCCTGTCCTGACCCTGTGCTCATGTTTTCTCTTTCCAGATGTGGTCATCAAGGTGGTAGACAGCAGAAAGAAAGAGGAGTTGCTGTCCTACAAAATCCCCATCAAATACCTGCGTGTTTTCCACCCCTACCACTTCGAGCTGGTGACGGTAAGTCAGGGACCATGTGGGGCTCGGGAAGGATTTCTCCTGACCCCATAGATAGGAATTCTCCAAATTCATCTCTGCAAAACAGCCCAGTTAGCATGGAACAACGATACCACATTAAACAAATACACCCATTAAAGATATATTCTGATTTCATAAATGTTAAAGGAGGGGTGGATCTAAGAAACAATATATCAAAGAATATACTGAAACAATAAATCAAAGAAACAATATTGACAGTACCTACTGCTTGCAGGCCCTGTGCTAGACATGTCACACGCCGTCTCCAAACCTCAAGGCAAATACATTCTGCAGGGACATGGGACTGGGACTGGGGGAAAGGAATCCTCCCCTTGTGGGTGGCGGAGGGCGAGGGAGCGGCAGGGTCGAGGGTGAGCCCAGGTCACGATGTCTTCCAGCCGGTTCTGTCTGTGCTGCCTTGGCAGGCAGGCCCAGGAGGGTTGGGAGACGTGGGGGATAAAGCACTCCCGGGAATGCACCCCCCGAGTGGGCAACTGAGCACGAGCCTGGAGGGGGGAGCCTCAGGCCCCTCAGTCCACGGCCTGGACCTCCCAAGCTGGGCCCTCTGCCTGCCCTCGCCCCGGTGCTGAGCGGTAGAGAGCAGAATCCACTTCCTCATTGCTCAAGTAGTCAGGAAGTACCTACTACGTGCCAGGCACTGGGCTGGAGATGAGCAGAAGTGTCACTCCCCCCTCCCGCCGTGGCACCCCAGACCCCTGCAGTGGTTGAGAGTACAGAGCAGTGTGCAGCCAGCCAGTCTGGGCTCCCACCCCAGGTCTGCCGCCCACTGGCCGGGTACCCCTGGGAAGCCACTTGACCCGCAGGCCTCCGTCATCAGCAAAGCTGAGACAGGTCCCCCTGGCATGGCCATTTGGAGGGTCCCGTGCAGTGATGGGCAAGGTGCCTGACACATAGTAGGTGCTCAGTTCAGTTAGTTTCCCTCCCCCCCTCCTCCAGGCACTGGCACGGGCCTTTTCTCCAAGCACCTATTCCACCATGGCCCCAGGGATGTTTCCCTTCCCTTAGGCCCCAAGGGGACCCCAGTCCCGGGGCTTCAGGGTTAGGCACCAGGGCCAGGCAGGGACGCGAAGGCCCAGAGAGACGAGTGACTTGCCCTGGGAGACCAGCACTTCGCCGTAGCTCTGGGAGTACCACCCAGGTCCCCTGGCTCTCTGTCCACTGATGGCCAGGCCTTGTCATCACGTCCTCGCCAGCGAGCAGCAGGCTGTGGTCCATGCAAGGGCGATGAAATATTCAAATGGAGAAGGGAAGATTTATTCTATCGATCTCCTGGAAGGGCTCCCAGGGACTGTGAGCTTTAATTACCAGCTCAGAGCCCCGGTGGAGCGATGCCAAGTGACTGTCTGCAGAGGGCTGGATTTACGGCCAGGGTCTGCCCCTTAGACACGCTCCTTCTGTGTGTCTCTCCCCGACCCCGTCTCCAGCCCGCCCAGTCTGGGAAAGTCGACGAAGACACTGACAAGACCCACCTGTACGCCACGGTCGTTCGGAAGTGTAGCTTCATCCCCCGCTACATCGGCTGCAACCACACAGCTCTGGAGGTACCAGGGCAGGGGCTCCTGGGGTGGCGGATGGTGTGGGAAGGGGATAAGCTTTGGGCCGAGGCTAGGCCGTGCCCTTGGCCCCCTTTGGCTGGCCTGAAGGTGTGGAACAGAGGCGTCAAGAATGGAAAAAGCAACCAGGCTTCTCCAAAATAATCGAAGTAGTTTGCGAAGACAGGCCCTGGTTCGGCAGGAGGCTCCCAAAGCCTTGTGTCTCCCTGAATCTCAGGGAGGGGGAGAAGCCCCGTGCTCCCCACCGTGGCCAGTCCCTGGCTGTTTTCTGTTCTGCTCTCCCCTTTCTGGGGTAGAGATAGTGCTGAGGCCCCCAAGCGAAAATTAGGGCCTCCCCAATTCTTCCTTTAGTGCTTCTAAAGAGCTTTGGCTGGTCTGCCGTTCAGGTATCAGGAGTCCGTTTGTCCATTCAACAGCTATTCACAGAGCCACTTCCATTAGCCAGGACAGGGCTGGGCCAGCTGGGGCCTGGCGCCATCCCCTGGCCCATCACCTCGCCCGCCCAGGCCATTCGGTGGGTTCAGGAGGAATCACTGATGCTCAAGGCTGATATGACGCAGGGACTGGCCCCTCTCCCATGGCCCCACAGCCTTCAAACCGCCCACGGGTGACAGATTCAAATCCAGCTATGGCTTGGGTATGATCAAGGTGGGAGCCATGGAGCCCAAGCTCTGGACTCCCCTGACAAGCTGGCTGATCGTACCCCCACCCCCACCCATAGCACCGTGAGCCTGACAGGGCAAGAATTGTTCTTTGGCCCCATTTCACAGCTGGGGACACTGAGACCCAAGGAGGGTCTGGTATGGAGAACTCCTAACCCACGCCTCTGCCCCACAACCTCCCTGGATGCCAGCGTGTGCCACCCCTGCAGGTGCCCTCTGCCCCCACTTCTCCCCTCTCTTCTACCACACCCTTTCCCAAAGACAGCCAGCAGCTCACACATACGTTGAGCAAGAAAGAGTGGCAACATCTTGGCCTTGCTGTCCCCAGGCTGCACGCACATCCCCAAGACCCAGGCAGAACCCTAGGGCTGCAGGGGTTGCTGTGGGTCTGCCCGCCCCCCAGCCCTCTGACTCGCCTGGTAGAGTTTGGGCCTCCCTGGCCCCCAGCACCCTGCCCACCCCCTGCCCCAGCACAGATGCCCTCCCTGTCTGTGCGACAGGTATGGCCACCAGAGAGCACAGCAGGAGCAGAAACTGCTTCTGTTCCTCACCAGGCTGTCATGAGCAGGTGTGCTTGGGCAGCTGTCGCATCCACGCCCGACCAGAGTCAGCAAGACAGGTGCAAATTAGCTCTCCCTGCTCTCAGCACCCCCCGCCTTGCACCTGCCAGAGCCCACAGGCAGTGGGGCAGGACCGTGCTCCCGCGAGGTCCCGCAGGCCGAGACCCCAGCCCCAGCCAGAGTGGGAAGTCGCCATCAGAGATTCAGCCCTTTGACTGCGGTGAAGGGATTCAGCCCCCAGAGGCCCCAGCGATGGCTGAAAGGCCCCAAGGGCTACTGTAAGCACCAACCAGCTCACACATGTGCGGAGTTAGTGGCGACCGGCTGAGATGGGCCCTGGCAGAGGGGCCTGAGGGGAGGGTGCTAAGGAAGAGGAGAAACCAGAACGAGCTCACTCCTGGGCCCTCTCCTCCCCTTGAAGGTCAGAGCTGGAAGCACCAGGGCGATTATGCCCAACACTCAGCGTCCAAGTCGGAGCACTGAGGGCCAGAGTGAGCAGGGCTGGCCAAGGGCGCCTGGCCGGAGTGGGCATTTGAGCAGGGGTAGCCCGGGGGCCCTTCCCATCCCGAGCTGTGCCTGGGCATGGTCCCACAGCGCTGCCCAGAGTCCCTTCCCTTCCTGCTTCTCTTCCCATCAGCACCGCGTAGTTGGGACCTGTCCGTCCCCTAGGACCCACGCTGAGGCCGCTGTCTGTCTCCTCCCCTCCCCTCCTGGGGCTCTTCCTCCGCTGCTCCCCCCTTGTCTCCCTCATGAATGGGACACTCATCCCGCAACGTGTATTGCACTCTACTCTGCACCAGGCTGTTTCACTAAAAGTCACTGGGACAATGACAGTGAATGAGACAGACATGGTCCCTGCCCATATGGAGATTGGGTTCTAGTCAAATAGAAAATAAGCCAGAAGTGAATTAGAACGAACAGTGGGAGAGGCAGAGAATGGGGCTAGTTTATCAGGCGTGGTCACGGGAGGCTTCTCAGAGGTGGTGACTATGCTACAGGATGAGGAGAAGCCGGCCATGAGGCGTTGGCGGGCGCAGGGGAGTCTAGGCAGGGGGACCAGCTCACACAAAGCCCCTGAGGCAGACACCAGCAGGGGCGGCTGGAGCGGGGAGAGAGAGTCTGGAGCAGAAAGAAGGGAGCTGGGGGCTGCCAAGAGAGAGGCAGAGGGGCCTGCAGGCCAACACGTGCCAGCCTCAGCAACTGCGGGGGACCATAGAGCTCATCTGGGGCAGTGGGGCCACTGCAGGGTCTCGAGCAGGAAGTGGCATGATCCAGTTCATTTTAACAGGACAGTTTTGCCACTGGGTGTTGAATTGCCAGGGAAGGGGGTGGCTCAGGGTCGGAAGCAACGGGAATGATGGCTGAGGGGCCGAGGTGGGGGCCGGGGAGGACAAGAGGCCATTGGTGGATAAGGGACAGGCTTCAGGGCCCAGGAGATGGGGGCTCATGGGATGGCAGGGGAGGTCCCACCCCCTGGGGATGCCGTCCACTTCCCCAGCTCTGCCTTGAAAGCTGCTGCGGAGGATGTGGGGAGGAGGGGAGACGGCAGTCAGGGCAGGGCGCAGGGAGGGCCTTAGGAGGTGACGACGGACTGAGGAGCTAACCGGAGGGCTGTGGGGGGAGTGAAGACTGGGCTCTGATGAAGAAAGAG